ACACCACCCATAACTGTAAAGCAGACCCAGTACTTGAATTTGCACTTATTTAAATGTAAAAAAATCTCCCTTTGTCTTGTTTGACATGCACAACGAGCAGGAAGGATTTCTGAAAGCACACAGGGAGCGATCAGAATCATAGCAGAAGGTGATGGTCAGAAATCCTGCAGGGAGGGTCGGAGGGTGGGGGGGTTGTGGGTGGGTGCAGGATTGAACAAGGAGGCCACTGCAATACTGTTCACATCTCTTTACTGGAAGACTGCTAATATAAATGTTGTCCTGATAAAGCCAACATGTTTCAGCTGGATATGGAAAGCAGGCGAGTTTATAATTCAACATATGTGATGAATAATGTTTCCATTTATAACAAGCAATATAAAATAGGTCTTGGTTCCATGGTCACACACCAAGTTGTATATTAAACAACCAGACAGGTGATTTATATGTAACTTAGGACAAACTAAACTCAAATAACTGTCAAAATTCTTTCAATGAAACTTATTGGAAAATTATTTTAAAAATGTAGGACCTATTAAATAAAGTGTTAACCATGACCGTGCTGTATGCAGACTATAAATGTTCGATCAAAGAATTTCGCTGCCATTTGTGCCTGCCAAACTTCCAAAATCCCTTCAAACTATATAATTAAAATCTAATGAATAAAATAAAATTAAAATTTCTAAATACAAAACATTCTTACAGGGTTATTCAATCCATGGAAGTATTAAGAGACCTGGATACAGCACTGAAGGCAGGACCCTGTTCGTTCCTTTTTAAGTTGCTCAGTGGCACATGGAGCCAAAAAAGCTCTATTATTGCAGTATGGAATTACCCAAATGATCAGCACCGCTTTGGCATCATTGGACTCATAGAGCAGACACACTAGAGACTTATGGCTGCTGAGCACGGCTAAGCGGCTGACTTCTGGTTCAGTGCTCCACTAACGTGAATGGGTAGAAAAATGATTTAATCTTGCAGCTGTGCTGGACTTTTCAAATGTTATCAGACTGAATAGAGTAAATCCTGATAGTGAAACCAGTCATTTCATGGAGGTTGTGGCGCTAAAAAAAATGTATCTATGAGAAAAAGTCTTTTGTGATGGACCCTGGAAATTCCCTCATTTGGGGAACAGTCCCAAGTATGGAACTTCAGTCACGAGTCACATTATGACATCTATTGCTCGTCTGTCCGTCCTGGAAGAGGGATCCCTCCTCAGTTGCTCTTCCTGAGGTTTCTACCATTTTTTTCCCCCGTTAAAGGGGCTTTTTTGGGGAGTTTTTCCTTATCTGCTGTGAGGGTCCAAAGGACAGAGGGATGTTGTATGCTGTAAAGCCCTGTGAGGTAAATTGTGATTTGTGATATTGGGCTTTATAAATAAAATTGATTGATTGATTGATGATGACTCCATACTCCATCCTCTGATGAACATTGTGAGGCAGCAGCCAAGTTACCAGAATAAAATGTTAGTATTGTACATTTTTACAAATCATGGATACATCTGTACGTTTGATATGTTGTGTGATACCAACACAGGTCTTTAAACTAACTCTACTGTTAACCCATTTGGAACAATATTTGACACTCAGAAAATGATGTAGAGTAAAGAGCGAGAAAGTTGGTTTAGGGTGGGTGGGAGGGAGGGGAGGTGGATAGGTCAGACAGACTTTGAGCCAGGAGACCTCTGTATATGTCCCGTGTGAAACCAAAAGTCTGCTGTTTTTGACATATTGTTACATAACTCCATCTGTGGTGTCCTTATGTCACGCATCACGTGACATATTTATAACGTTACAATCTTATTTTAAGCCAGAACATTTCAAATCTGTCCAAGTCATTTAGTTGCCTAAACCTAATCACAACCATCTGACGACTTTAACCACATGTTACAGTGGGTTTCACTTTGGAGACAGCAACGCATCACATACAGACCTTAAAGAGTGCATCTCAGAGATATGCAAAAGGGTGCCTTCGGGTTCCATATCATACGCTAGGGCCATGAGAAAGCATGAGAAGGCATCGGTATTTGACGACCTAGGATGAGAATGTATTGGCAAGACAGTGGCCAAGCAGCAGGCGGCACCGGTCAACTGTTTAAGACCAACAAACAGCAAAAGCAGGTATTATTCAACAAGAGGTCGAGACAAGTAGAGCCATATGTGTGACTACAAAACCCCATATTTTTTAAGGACAGTTCAGTAGATGTCCAGCTGTGTTAGCAGTAACTAAATTAGGTATTTTAAGCAAAAATGTGATGCTTTCCCAGCCCTAACCGAGGTGTCCTCAGAATGGTTTTATATGATATCCTACGAAAATGCAGACACAACAGTTCATATGATATTCTAGGAATTACCACCCCATGAGTGAAGTTACTGTGGTTTGAGGTTGGTTAAAGTAACATGGTGGGGACATACCTAAAAATGACAGTCCACCCAAAGGGGAAAGTCTGCATTGTTGTGACCCATCCACCACCCTAACCTATCAATCAATCAATCAATTTTATTTATAAAGCCCAATATCACAAATCACAATTTGCCTCACAGGGCTTTACAGCATACAACATCCCTCTGTCCTTATGACCCTCGCAGCGGATAAGGAAAAACTCCCCAAAAAAAACCCCTTTAACGGGGAAAAAAAACGGTAGAAACCTCAGGAAGAGCAACTGAGGAGGGATCCCTCTTCCAGGACGGACAGACATGCAATAGATGTCGTACCGAACAGATCAGCATAATAAATTAACAGTAATCCGCATGACACAATGAGACAGAGAGAGAGACAGAGAGAGAGATGCAGGTAATGACAGTAGGTTACTACAACATTATTGAAAGTAATAATATTATAGTTATAGTTCTGGCTACTGTGGTACAATATGTTGAAAGTATGTATTAATATCTGGCAGTATACATGTGTGACAATAGTCATATGTGTATAATAACAGTAGAAGTATGACTAATGACTAATGATGGCAGCAGCAGCAGGAGGCATCTGGCAGGACCACGGCAGCAGCACAACCACACACGTCACGCTGTCCAGGCACCGCTGCGATATGAGTTAATCTGAGAGACAGTGGAGCACAAAGGCTCCGGAGAAGAAGCCGAGTTAGTGACATCCAGAATGGCCGAGTTAGCAAGATGCAGTAATAGAATACGAGAGAGAGAGAGAGAGAGAGAGAGAGAGAGAGAGAGAAGGAGAGAAGGTGCCCGGTGTATTATAGGGGGGTCCTCCGGCAGACTAGGCCTAAGTCAGCCTAACTAGGGGCTGGTACAGGGCAAGCCTGAGCCAGCCCTAACTATAAGCTTTATCAAAGAGGAAAGTCTTAAGTCTAGTCTTAAATGTGGAGACGGTGTCTGCCTCCCGGACCGTAACAGGAAGATGATTCCACAGGAGAGGAGCCTGATAGCTGAAGGCTCTGGCTCCTGATCTACTTTTGGAGACTTTAGGGACCACGAGTAACCCTGCGTTCTCAGAGCGCAGTGTTCTGGTGGGATAATATGGCACTATGAGCTCTCTAAGATATGACGGAGCTTGACCATTTAGAGCTTTATAAGTTAACAGTAGGATTTTAAATTCAATTCTGGATTTTACAGGGAGCCAGTGCAGAGAAGCTAAAACAGGAGAAATATGATCTCGTTTCTTAGTTCCTGTTAGTACACGTGCTGCTGCATTCTGAATTAGCTGGAGAGTTTTTAAGGACTTACTAGAGCTACCTGATAATAGAGAGTTACAGTAATCCAGCCTTGAGGTAACAAAAGCGTGGACCAATTTTTCTGCATCTTTTCGGGTCAGGATAGGCCTAATTTTCGCAATATTACGCAGATGAAAAAATGCAGTCCGTGAGGTTTGCTTTAAATGAGAATTAAAAGACAAATCTTGATCAAATATTACTCCGAGGTTTCTTACGGTAGTGCTAGAGGCCAGAGCAATGCCATCTAGAGAAACTATGTCATCAGATAAAGAGTCTCTGAGTTGTTTGGGGCCAAGAACAATAACTTCAGTTTTGTCTGAATTTAACATCAGGAAATTGGTGCTCATCCAATTTTTTATGTCTTTAAGGCAGTTATGGAGTTTAGTTAATTGATTACTTTCTTCTGGCTTCATCGATAAATACAACTGTGTATCATCCGCATAACAATGGAAATTTATAGAGTGATTTCTAATGATGTTACCTAAAGGAAGCATATATAGAGTAAATAGGATTGGTCCGAGCACAGAACCTTGCGGAACTCCAAAACAAACTTTGGTACGTAAGGATGATTCATTACGAACGTCAACAAATTGAAAACGATCAGATAAATAAGATTTAAACCAGCTTAGTGCTGAACCTTTTAGGCCAATTAAGTGATCCAGTCTCTGCAGTAGAATTTGATGGTCAATTGTGTCAAACGCCGCACTAAGATCTAATAAAACAAGTACAGAGACAAGTCCTTTGTCTGAAGCAATCTACCTACCTAATCAACCTACCGTACAGGACTGCTTTGTTGTTTACGCCCAACAGTGCATTGGTCACATGATCGCAGCTTTTCAAACTACATCAGATATGTATGAATTTGGGTGCATTACTTTTGCAGGAAAATGTCTTAACAGTTTATGAGAACAGCAAGGAGTTTTTGTGCCTCGAACCGAACCACGCATTAACCACAGCGTTTTCACAACAATAAGTTGAAACATAAAGTTTTAACATATTAAAAACATTTTACAACTTATATATTTAAAGCAAATGTACAATGCCAGCATTTTATTATGTAGACTGGGTTGGAGACGGGATTTAAAGCTGCAGAATAAGCTCGCAAGTGAACCTTGTGCTGAAATACTTCCTGTGAAGCTTGACATGTTTTACTACAATCTGATATTTGTCTTTGTAAAACAGAAGTTTTAAAGCTTTATACTGAAACACAGGCAGATACGTACGACTAAAGGTAAACCCATATTTTGCTTTTTCAGTACACCCAAAATCACTGTCAAGAAGAAAACAGGTCAGACGAAGCAAAGAAAGAAACAATCAGTTAAAAGATAAATAGTTTATGTGAATCTCTCACATAGCATTTACCTTCACTCTATACACATTGTTTTGAACGTGATATACAGTATGTCATCTTTTTTTTTTTTTTTTTTTTTTACAATTTGACATAATGGGTTTTTTTTTCAGCATGCACTTTAGAATGCCAACAAAAGGCTCCACAAATACAGACTTCAAACTAGAATTTTCCTCACAGTAAAACATACAAAACATGAACTCGGATCAAAAGCCTGACAGTTTGAGGACACGATGGAGAAGCACAGCATCAGACTACCATGACTTTTACAGATAAGAGCAATGTACTCAACAGTAAGACACAAAAATACATGTTCTGGATTCAAAAAAATAAACACCCTTTTTTTTTTTTTTCAAGTTACAACGTCATCCTAAAAATACACAAAGAACGGTACCCCTTTGTCAAGTCAAAGAGTAAAGCAGCGTGTGAACTACACGAGGAGGATTGTGGGAACAGGGTGACACGACTGTGCAGGTCAGAACCAAGCTGTGCCACCTGCCAGTCATTTCGAACAGCCTTCAGAGCTGCATTTTCACTCCCTTTTCCTTCTGCATTCTTGTTTTAACGGGCTGCTGAAATCACAGTGTGGATCGGCGCTTTTTGTTTTCGGGTGCTTATTGCAAATCCGATCTGATTGTTTGGGTTCACGGGGTTGCTACTGTGCAGATGTAGCCGTTCTAGAAGTCCCGCTTTATAACTTGGTAAACTTCTGCTACACTTTTGCTCCACCCCCACAAGGGGAAAAGTTTGGAAGAATCAAGTTATGCAGTTTTTGTTTAGCCACCAGGCGTTATGAGGAGTAGTCTGGTGAGAATAATTTGTTTTGCGAGGAGACAAACATCTGCAGCACAAACGCAGGGTAGTTGCATGTTTAGGTGCTCGGAAAAGGGAAGGACTTCTAGAACGGCGACTGCACCACAGGGAACTCTGTCTCATTCGTATTTGTGCTAAAACTAACTGGAAGAGTGACAGCATCAAGTCCACTCGTTGGTCTCCGCTGACCTGGCCTTTCAAATTGCAGATCTTAACCCTGGTGTTTTAGGATACACACACATTAACACACAGCAGAGCAATTAACCTACTGAAAATTACCAAGGGAAACAAAAGCAGAGATGACCATAATGTCACATTTATTCAACTTAGCACATTTGTCTCTCTATACTGTATATACTGTATGTAGAATTTCATATATGAATACACTCCATTTTTAGAACACAAAGTGCCTCAACTGATACATCTTAATACACTTATTGCGAGGAGGGATACCACAGCAAGAAAAGTGATTTAGTGTCACGGCGCAACTTAGCAACCAACCACCCTGTTACCTGACTCGCCATTGAAAGACAGATGTGTGGACGGAGCCGCTTGACCCAGATGTGCTGTGTTGTCTTATTTACAGGAGCGATATCTATACAGTAGTCTCTTTTAAGGACGTGTCCAGTTTGCTTTGCTAGCCTTTTTTTTCTCCACAGTTCTAAAACAGGAAAACAAAAAGAGAAATCAGGAAAAGGTAAATGCTTGTCAAAGTCCTCCCAGGGTTTCATTTTTATCTCTACGTCCCGTTACTGCGCACTGAGCCACTGGCTGGGCGGCTGTCAGCCAATAGTCTCTGCGTGCCTCCTCGTCCATATTGTCCTGTAGGAGTGGCCTTATGGCTCCAAATGGGGTCCTCCCACTGCAATAGGTCCTCATACTGATGACTTATCCCACCGTCATTCAAATAGGAAATGAATCGTCTAAATAAAATATAAACACATCTCTAAATATCAGAAATGCATAATGTCTTTGCTGAGCATCATTTCACAACATGCACAGACTGACTATTTTCAATATGTGCACCAAAAAATGACAACATGGTACAGATCTATGGTGCTGTTTCAGCTTGAGTTATAAAAGCTCTGTTGTATATTGCAGTGGTTTAAGTGGGGGTGATTCAATAATTCACCATACAAACGGAGAGAAATGTTTGCAAGAGCTCTTCTTTTTAATTGTTTGACTTTTTGCCGAGCTATGTGTAAGATGCATCTAGCTGTGAGCCAGTTGCTAAGCAACCATCTGCTACTGGTATAGACATACTGTAGGGATGGGTGAGGCACATCGCTGCATGGCTGTGTCTGCTGTCCCACACCTGTTGGTGCACAGAGGCAATTTATGAAATATAGTGAATGGATAAATGATTTGAGAGCAGTTAATAGCCCTTGGAGATGGCTGATATAAAGTGAAACTGTGCAGATAAAAGAGCAAAGAAGGATTGAGTTATGTGTCAGTGTTTTTTGCAACAAACAAAATCTGCTCCTCGGGTGTAAACTGTGCAAATTTCCATCCAAATCTGGTGTCATATGATACAAAATGCCATTTTCTCCTCAATTATAGTGTCATTTGTTGATTCTAATCATACTTATGTCTTAATATAATTATCAGCTGATTAAAACGCTACAAGCAGCACTTGTAATAGTGCCATCAATAGTGCATGTTTATCTGCGCTTGTCTCTTCATACAGGTATCACCTCTTAGGATTACTGAATAACCCCCGGTTTTCAGTACACACACACACACACACACACACACACACACACACACACACACACACACACACAAGAATACAAACTTAATTCATGACCAAAAGGGCGAGAGGGTCCCACACTGCAATCTGACCCTCACACCTGTTCAGAAGGTTACCTTTCCGCCATGGTGGCATCTTCCCCTCAAGCCATTAAGATAGAACGTTGCTCTCTGCTTGTGTGAAACCAGTAAAGACAACCTCTTTGCAGTTATCTGTGAGCAAAACAACCAGAGACACAACAGCTTTGGTGGCACTCCATCAAAGAAAACAAAACACAGAGGAGGTGGGGAGAAAGTTAGTCGGAAATAGCAGACGAGCAAAGAAAAAAAAAAAAAACATGCAGAGAGAAGCGAACACCCAACTGGCGTTCTGTGTTTTCAGTCTCCTGGGTGGTTTGTTGGTGAAGCCGATGGAAAAATGAGACGAGTGTACCCCAACCCCAACATAATAACATTACATTAAAAAATACTTTCTCAAATATACATTTCCTCAAGCTCTCCTCGCTGTCTGCCACATTGCTCGCAGACGATGGTTACAGGATGATCCATGCAAAAACATGAGCAGGACCAGCAGCGGGTGAAGAGTGACAGACTGTACGTGTGCTTGTGTGAGTCGAGACATAGTCCTGAAATGCTCCTTCCTGACACCCGTCCCTCCCGTCTCAATCCCAAAAATAAAGTAGCAAACCAAAGACAAAGTCACAGTTGTGTGAGGTTAAAATGAAGTGACATCTCTCTTTCTTTTTTTGGAAGCACGTCTTTTTCAAGGTATCTAAATATAGCAACATCTAATATCCCTGATTATTCATGTGTCCTTTATTACATGTTATGGCTGCTACTTCTAAAGCCACCAGTCAGAGTTCTTTTATTGCAAGTCTCACAATATCGAACTAAAGGGAACTCCAAAAGACACAGGAGAACTGACTAGTTACTTAAGGATGTTAGCTAAGCACATCAAACTTCAAGGAAAAGAGGAGTTGCTCAGGTTGCCCAAGCCACTAACATTAGTCTTAGCTACAAAGTTAAGTACTTATCCACTAGTCACAATACCGAGAACAGAGTTCAGATATAATACCACAGGGAGGTGGTTTGTTTGGGGGGTAGGATGTGGGCTGGTTTGGACCAAAGTGGCCCAGGGCTGCACGTCTCACAGGATGGAGGGGATAGGGGAGCGAGAGCGTCGCAGCGGGCAGGGCGATCCGTAGGGTGAGGTCACGGGAGACAACCTCAGGGCGTTACCAGTCATGCCCGCTATGTTGTTTAAGCTCCGGGATTTCTCATAGCCTTCAGATGAGGGGGCGACACAGAGGAGGTGGTGGTGGAGGTGGTGGTTGTGGTTGTGCAGGAACAGGACATGAACACACACAGGCAGGCAGGCAGGCAGGCACGCAGGCAGGCAACGATCCGAGTCCGAGCCAGCCGAGTGAACCGAGACAAGACAGGAGACAGGAGTGAGACAGAGCAACAGTAACATACTGTATGGTGAGTGCATGCACAGCACTTTTCCTGACAATGACTGTGAGGCAGATTGGAGTTTTAGATAGGCAAATGTGTTGAGCCAGAGCTGCTCTAGAGGGAGAAATAACCTCATTGGCTGAGTTAATCCTCAGAGGGCAGAGCCAAAGAACCACAGTCTCCTGGCTTCAGATACATTCCATCACTGGAAACCCTATCTGACCAGAAAATATACATCGCAGCATCCCATTGGGATTGGGAATGAGTTAGAAGTAATCTCAGACACTGCTCATTTAGAGGAAAATAGTAACATTTACAATAAAAAAGACAACACAAGAACAGTTAGCTATTTTACTCTTTGCTGTCAAAGTAGGTGATTTAATTTGTCTGGAACCACAAGCAGCTGAGTAGGAAAAATCGTCTGCATCAGCCTTCTAGTTGTAAGTCTGAGTCAAGCTATGACTCACTCATCATTCAGCAAAAATGTCAACAAACCAGTGGCAAAAAAATCTGCAAATAGCAAATATCGCTGGCAGTTACATTTTAATAAAAACCAATGTTAATTTCAGTCAGTTCAGCTGATCAGAAATGAGCTGTACACCATTTTACCAAATCTGCTTCCATTCATAAACAAATAATGTGCTCACTAGCACAGCTGGATGGAATGGATCCATCATTAATGTGATTAGCTACGCCTGTGCTCTCCCTGCAGTGACAGAAAAAGGTGGCTGTTGTTAGAGCTGTATTGTTATCTAATCTCGCTGTAGTGACTGTGCCTCGAGATTTTGTGACATTAGACCAAATCCATAAAAACAGCGTGGCTACTGGCTTTCTGCTGCTTTCATGCCATGTTGGCAGAGTAGGATGGAAAATCCTCCTGTTACTCTGTCTCAGGAGCATTCATTATTCAGAGACACCCCCGTTGCTATCAATGCAATCTCTGAACCCATCGGCTATCAGTCTGACGACGATAAGCCTATGGACAAGGCCAGTATTTCGGGGGATCCGGTCCAAGACTTCCTCTTCCATGCGCCGGTCATTTCGGCTAATCTCTATAAAAAATATTTCCATATGAATGCAGATTATTAATAACAATGAAAAAAAGCCAAGGAAAAGCTAGATTGTCATCAGACGATAGCTGGGAACAATGGGTTCCAAGTACAGAAAAATATATGTAGACATCGCATTGATTGTGTCAGCCCATTGCAGCAAAACGCCAACATTGCCGCCATATTGGGATGCAAGTAACAGGGGAGCTGCTGTGTTTCTGGATAAAAATCCCTGTAACATTTATATTTTTTCAACCGATTTCAATGAGTTGTTTTTATAGTCATGGGTTTATGATCTACTGTATATGCTGTACAAAAAAAAGTTTTGTCTCCAGTTAATTAGAATCTTAAAAGTTAGACTATAATCACTGCTGGAGGCTCAAGATTGTGTGTGTTTGGCTCACATGAGCTGAATTACTTAACGTTAAAGTTGCATAGTAGAAAATAAATCATCATTATAAGGAATTGTAAAAGTCAAGTTTGTCAAGCATCGATCCGACTCATTGTCCTAGGTTAATACTTGTGTAGATATCCCTATATAATATAATTTATTGTCCAAGTAGACAACTGTTAAGCTAACTAGCTAACACTGTCTGCTTGTCAACTCCTTGATCATAACAGAATATTGAAACTTTCAAAACTGCTCTTTCTACAAAGGCCACCCAAAGGAAATCGGTTCTTTGTTCAGAATATCAAACAGACGATAGATGTTTGTTTCTGGCTGCCAGCAGTCAGCATAAGCTAACATAGCTAGAAGGCTACTCTTAACGTTAGTGAATTTTGATTTTCCCAGGATTGTGCCTGGATGCAGACAGTAACCAATGTAAATGCAAATTACATAACATAAATAAACACATTTCTAAAATGAGCAGTGCTGAAGGTTACTATATTCTGACCAAGGAGATGATAAGCATACTAGCTAGCACACTAGCTCGCATGCTAGCTTGCTGAATTTTTTTAAATTTCCACATTAAATCGTATAGGGACGTCTCACTAAGAATTACCAAAGTCCACAAGGTTTAACCAAGGAAAATAAACCAAATCCATGCTTTTGCCAAACTTTTTCACAATTTTTTACAGCTCCCTTTAACAAACACATAAGTAATTTAGTTCATGTAATCCTAACACACACTCCTCTCTTAAGCGTCCAGCAGTGATTTTAGCCTAAATATCAAGATTCAAGATCAATGTTTTTCTATGCTTCATGTAGATCATGAACTCATTCCAACTGGCTGAGAAATATAAATGTTAAAGTGCTTTTAATCCAGTACAGCAGCTCCCCTGTTACTTGCATTTATTAACAGGCTAGTCTTGTTCTCTTCAATTGCTGCCTACAGATTTTACATACATATGTTTATAAAGTTCACCAGTAATGTTGCTACACCAGATAAAGGGGGATTAAGCTTTTACTTATTGTGTTACATAAAGCTCATAACAGTCAAGCCACCTTTAGCTGATGTGATTGTATTAGTGTTAATATTGGATTTTATTTAGAGGAAACTGTCAACTATAGTGGCTAGTAGCTATAGTGGGCTGTTGAAATTGTCCGTATTGGAGTACGAAAATCATTGCTTAGAGGCTGACACGTATAGTTTTCCCCATTTGGCAACTTGTAATCACAATTTGATGCGATTTGACATTAGCTGCACTTAAATATCTGTATGCCGCTTAGTTAAGCTGGACTTCAAAGTAACCATACCAGCCTACAGCTAGCTAAGCTAGTTAGCCATCATGCTAATGTTCCAACACAATGAATGGCATGATTATGAATGAATGAAATAATGAAATCACTTCCATTGCTATTCTGACCAATGTCTCTGTTGCCACAATGGTTCTCTGGCTCCACCCACTCATTCAACCAATCAGACTGCTTCACGCTTACAGTAACTCCACCTTTGAGAAATGCATTTGTGATTAAAACTCAAGTCTGCCAGAGTTAACAGTGGAGAACTTTTAGTCACATAAGAGATATTGTTATTCTTAAAGTAGTAGGGTTTAAGAATAGAAGCATTAGCAGTCATTCACCTCATGACATCATCATTAGTATTTTCACTCATAAGAAATCGTTTAAAGACTATACATGTAACTAAATAATAACTAGTAATAACTTTAGGTATGCTTGCATAAACTGCTCATTCATATTGAAGCATTTAGTTCAAATATATATAGTCATATATCAAGTCTACCAACATGCACATCATGTATCAAGTAGTACAGACTGTTTCTGTGTGTATAATTCAAGTTGTGGCTGGCACATACTGATGACGATGAGGATAAAAACACCTTCGCTTTTTATATTTTTATTATCTGTACAGATTCACACTTTACAACAGCTCAAACATCTAAAAATGCAGCATGTAATGCACACTGGTGCAAAAATAAACAAGCAAGCCAAAGCAGCCAGATCATTAATGGAGCATGCCAATCAGCTGGCGTAAACACTGATGAGGAACAGCTAATGGAGACGTGGCCTCATTACCATACTGCATACGGCACCATTTGTTTCATCAAATGGGAGGGTGTACGTTTAACTGGGGCTGTTTCAGAACCAGCCAAGCAGGCAGAACAAAGGGCAGCCTGAGTCTATGCCAACAGGTAGCAGGGACTAGAAAGGACCCCATGTTTAATGCATCAGTGTCAGCGTGGCTGCGACTGCAACCACCGGCTGAAGCATCAGAGACGAAGGCACAGCTGCTCAGCCTCCTATGTTGAAAAAACAAGACTGGCGAGGTGCCCTGCTGAGAGCGAGACCACCATGTTGTGCTCACAAGAGGATCTGGACCACAGGAACAGAGGCTTCTCTGCTGGTCTGTCTCAATACCAAGCTTGGAAACCATTAATTAACCATTAATTTTTTTAACTTCAATAAAAATGTAACCATAATGATGTATTTTCTCATTGGAATTCTTACAAAACAGGTGCTGAAATTTACAGAGTGGCACTCTATTGGTACGCTAGCATTGATTTGCCTGCTATAGAGTGAGAACTGTAGCACTATGAGGCTATAGAGCATTGAAAGCAGGACATTTAGTGAGCCTCCTTGAGAGGCAGTTAACTTCTGATAGAATGCAATTAGCCAAGGCTTACCGCTTCCACATTACAGCGCAGATTAACACTACATTAATGCCTCAAGATGCTTGAGATAAAACAGAGGAATTAATCTAACAAACATGCTTTAGGCTTCGCATGGTGCCTGAGTATTATTTTAGTGTGGTCAAACAGAGGCTGTATTTTACAGGAATATTGTCTATCAAAAAAGCTGCACTGTGACCCCAATTCCACTGTGTGAGCTGCTCAGTTTATACATTTTACTTCATGACCTTTTCTGCCTTTGAAATGGAACAGCAACGGGACTTTCTGGTAATTCAGCAGATGTGAACTTCATAATGACCTTTAGCTTGGGTCAAAGTGTTTGGAAGGTCAAGCCCTTTCTGAGTCTGACCTTTCCCACTGATGCACCTCTACTACACTGAAGGCCATGACTGACAGGCAAACCATCGGGACAAATCTGATATTGTCCACTGATATTTCTCATTGGAAACAATGTATACTGCTTCAATATCTTGTCCAGCTTTAGGCTTAATAAACTTTGCCAGCAAAGTTTCAACATTGTCCAGTTAGAAATAAGAATCAGGTCATCCTGTTGGTGTAACTAGAGCCATGGTCAACTCACTATGTTTAACTTGGGCAAACTGACTTCATTAATATAGAACATTTTAATGATCAGAAACAACTTTGTATGAAGGGCTTGGAATTGCATGTACTGACCTATTTTTCTTTGTCTTTATGGAACTATTAAGCTTAAAGCTGCGGTAGGCAGTTTCATTTTGGCATCAGTGGACAAAAATCCCCATAGTTAATTTGTGCCTATTGTAATTTAAGTGGACTGAGAGAATGCTAGACTTCTGCACCAGGTAATTTTAGAGAGAGGGCGTTCCTATCCACCTGATTTTCAAACACATAAGTAAATAGTGGTCAACTTCCGTGTTTTTGTGCGTGACTTCCGGTCAGCCGCTTTCCCTTACCGGAGCTAACGGTGCAAGGTAATTTTTTTCAATTTTCAATTGTGTTAGTCAATCAGTTAGTTAGTTAGTTAGTCTGTGTATTTTATATAGATAACTGTGCCCACGTTTCCGTTATTTTGGAAATTGCCGGTAAAAATAATTCCCTCTAAACGTGAATAAATCGCACGTCAATTAAAAACTATGAACCAAAAAAAGCACAATCTATCCCGAGTGAGACAAACTGCTTGATCCCCGTCTCCAGTGTACCAGCAGAGAACCTGCAGAATTGAATCAGTGAAAAAACACACCGGGCTACACAGCCTCTCTACCTGAGCAGCTGAAGCTGCAGCTCGCACCCTCGACACACAGACGGTGCTTCTGCATGCCAGCCAAACGTGTGCACAACTGTGAGAAATAAATATGTGAGGTGCACGCTTTTCTATCTTTTTTTCTTTTCTTTCTTTCTTTCTGTCAGTGACATACACTCCTAACACAGGACGGGTTGTTTTTATTGACTGAGTTGATTATTAAGCCATAGAGATGCGTGGATCGGCTCTGATAGCACCCGAATCAGCATGTACGCATCAACCATCCAACCGTTACAACATGAATGAGCTAGCAAAGCAATTTTGTGTTGCTATGTGTGGTATTTATTTAGTTTTGGGAAACCACGATGTCTAGAAAGCATCAGTTGCTGCAGCTGACAGGGACAGCTAACACTAGCAGCAAAGCTAACAACAGGACGTCATCTGTTAAAAGCCTCCCGTTGTCGGATACGACATGACACTACTCTGGTTAGCTCAATCATGTTGTAACTAAGACATCTGCTGGAAAAAATATTTTTTTCACCGACTGTTTATTGAGTTATTACAGACACCGCTAACGGCTAACAGCTAATGGTTAGCCCAGCTAATCTACGTTAACCATGTTAATTACAAAACGTGCACACAGAAATAGTAATGTTTGTTCAATCATTGTGTTTATAGACTTTACAAACATCAGATTAGTCTAAACGGTGATATAGTGACGTGAAAATGTGAAAGAGAGTTTGACAATAAACACAATAAAACACGTTTCAATATCTGCAAAGTGTTTTAGAGATGGAAAGAAAATGTTGCCTATAGTTTAGCCTTCTGTTACAACAAGGCTAATGGCTGCAACTTCAAGTTCAAGTTTATGTAGCTAATGTAGCTAGAGCCTCAAATCACAGTGTGTCCTCTGCCTCACTCCCTGCCACAACAGACCACCTCGCCAGGAGGAGAGTGGGCAGCAACTCTAATCCAGCCACCGTAAACCCTAGCATCAGGGGAGCGGATGGCCCAGACTCCCCGCCGGATCAGCAAACTTTCTGTTGCTGCCGTTACTCAGGTTAGGCCCGGTGCTACTGGTGGCCACCAGCCCACTGTGTCACCCAGTGCTGCAGAGTTTGCAAGGGCCAAATCCGAGCTGCTGCAGCTGCCAACCAAAGGTCCGTCTCCCGAGCTGCTGTCTGCTCTTCTCTCGGGTAAGCAGTCCACAGTGGTGGGGAGCGAGTCGGAGGCACTATGGAGTAGCTAGCTTGCTAATTCCCGTCTCATTTGTGGTTGGATAAACAGAGAGAGAGAGCAGGGCTGAGCAAATGCGCTGTGGGCAGCTTTAAAATGAAATACGATTAAATTAATCAGTGTATGGGAAAAACTGGGTTACTGTATGAAGCACAAGCATACACCAGTGGTTGTCTGGTGGGAGGGGCTTAGGACAGAAAGGGAAGAGCTGCAGGAGGAGGCTGTATTTGCAGATTCTGCTGTTTTCAGATTCCTGCCTACCGCAGCTTTAATACCATAAAAGATAGAATATATGTAACAAGTCTGATATGTCGGATAAAAGATGATCAGTGGGCTATGTTACTTAATTTGAATGTAAATAAATCCACTGTACTCACTGGTGATTAGCTCAAACTGTTGTTATTAGCAGCCAATGTTAGCCTGTTCCAATGAAGAAGTCAAAATGTTTATGAGTCGATGAGATTAGAATATTTTACTTTAACAATTTTAATTCCTTTGACTGTGAGATATCTGAAACATCTGCTGGTGAATCATCACCTTAGGGCCAGGTGATTGATGCAGATGATGACACTGGGCAGTTTCTTTGGGAGCGGTAGATGGGCAATGAACCTGGCAACAGCCAAAAAAGTGACACACAGGGTCAGAAATTTATTCAAGTGTTTCCAGGCAACAAGAAAACATGAATAAATTGTAAAGAAAGCAACAGTTCTGAGTCAGCTGCATGGACGCTGTTGCCCCTCAGAATTGACAAAAAAAGTGATGCCGTGTGTCACTGCTGAGCGCCGCAGCAGCAGATCCACAGATTACATTACCTGAGCTCACTAGGCCTGAACAAACAGCCTTCCCCCCTCCAGGGATGTTGGAGTCCCCGTCACTAAGGATATGGATCAGCTGATGAGGATTTTGACTGATTTTCTTAAAACATATTGAGCTCTGACATCTGTATTTTCATGGTAGAACATATCTGAAATATGAACTGCTCTGACTGTTCAATTTATTCAAAGAATATTCCACACATACAAAAAATAAACAAAGTGATCACAGGACATCCCTCTGAGATGAAACCTAACCCAGATTTATAAGTGATGACTAATGAATGAAACACGAATCAGTATTAATGAACAATAGCAAGCATGGATTTCAGAATGATTCTTCAAGACAAGAAAATGTTGTAATATGTTTTTTAAATAAATTCTACTTTTATGAAAAGACTTACATTTAAATGTTCATTTTAAGGTTTAATGAATCATGTTGAAAGTTAATTCTACATGCAGTTACCTGTTTTACGCATCCCTCCATCTGCAGGACAGGTGTAATCACTAGCAGTAAGCAGGAAGCATGTTCCCCCGCTCCGGCGGTTATGTTCCCGGGTGCTGGACCTTCGCATGGGGACCCTCTCCTCTGGAGACATGGTCAGGTCACTGCCCCCGCTGCAGTCTGCTGACAGAACTGTGAGAAATGAAACAAGCAAGGGTGAAAATAATGCAAAAATAATTGCAGACTGACATTGCTGTCTTTATGAGGCTGTAGTGCTTTCATTTTTTAAGCTAGACCAGTATCAGTCTATGCACATCAGATCATTAGTATCATTAACTGCACCATAAGAAACCAAAGTATATCAGTATGCAATCCCTCTCATACTGACAGTTTTTTTTAATAGCCTACACCAGCAGCATAATCGAATTCCTGAAATCCAGTTATGGCTTTTGTTTTTGGTGTGCCACCCTGGGATTTGCAGTGGCCCCATCTGGCCACGCATATGAAACATTTCTGGGGGTGTCACTGACTCGCAGTAATAAATGTCAATTTATCTAATTTGCTCAATTCATACAGTTAATGATATTCTGCCAAAAAGGGCTATGAGATTTTAATCATAAGCTTATGACAGTAGCTCCAGTAATAATTTAAAAAAATCCCTCAGCAATGAATTTACCATACTATTAAAACTTAAGTAGTGACATCAATAATTCCCTGATTTTCAACAGAGATACTAAATAATTAGATAATATGATAGTTATGAATTGTTTTAATCATATCCCTCCCTCCTTAGAGACAAGTTGCTGAGGGACTAAAAGTCTGGCTTTTCATCATTTGCTACCTATGTGTAAGTAACATGTTTATGCTCACAACAACCTTTCTTTGGTGGAAGTTGGCTTAAGCTCCTCTTTAGTGTATTTCTCCAAAATGAATTCAGGACTTAAATGTTATTTCTTATCAACTTTAATAGTAATAATACTTTGATAGATGGCTTTTACTGTGATTTCTGATTTGGGGATATATAAATAAAATTGATTTGATTCATGGAGTGTTTATATTGTTTTAGTGATAGTAAAAAACAAAACCCTCCTACATCAGGGGTCTTCAACGTTTTTCAGGCCAAGAACACCTTAGCTCGAAGAAAAATGAACAGTGATCCCCGTCTACATGTATTGTATAAAACTGAGTTGGAAGTAATTCTCTAAATATTTCTGGGTCTTCACTTATTTGCACTTGTCTGTTGCTGCTAAGTCAGCAGCAGTTGAAGCATGGCTAGGTGCATTAGCATCACCCTCTAAACTTTGGTCAGTGGTTTCTGAGGTGAACAGTATGTCAGAGTCTCTTAAAGAAGATCCAAAAACAATCTATCACTGCTCACAAGAATGCCAGTACACTTGGAATAATATGATTTGTTTGTATGAAAATGTTAGCTAACTAGTTCACCTCACCATTAAGGACAGTTGCCTCACAGTTTGGTGGTAGCTAGCTTACATGATTGCACAAGTATTCATGGGTAACAGCTAGCCTATTATTTATTTATTTATTTATTTATTATTTTTTATGTAAATATGCCAAATTATCTTTGCTAATAATATGTTGGGTTAATGTTTTTGTGTATTTTCAGGCATGTTTAAATTTTTGAAGAAACAAACAAATAAACAAAAAAACCCTTATGATTGAAATTTAAATTGAATAATCAAACAATGATTTGGCGGCCCTCCTGCAGTAACTTTGAGGTTTCCCTAGGGGCTGCGGACTCTATAAAAAATGGAAAATAACTGAAACAATATTGTGTACTTACAGTAACTGTCTTTGATTTAAATCTTTTTCAATTTGATCAAATTTGTCAATACAACCAGCATGGAGAGGTACTAGGGAATATGTTTAATGAGGCTGGAATGTCTACGTGATTGTGAAGCAATCACCTTCACAAAGTGTTGTGTTTGTATTGTAAAACCTATTCTGAACAATTATGCCTCATATTGTAATAAACAATGCAGACTTTAATATAAATTAAACTAAAACTAAACATTTTGAATCATGATGAACTAAAATAAAATAAGCAAACCCACCCTGGAAACTAATTGATTCTAAACTGAATTGAAAAAATGCAAATCTATAATATCTCTGTTGTGACTGAACTGAGCATACAGTACATGTTAAATGGAACCTTTCACATTGAAACATAAAGCAGGAGGCAGTCTAAAGGACATTGAAGAGGAAAGTAACCTTGCAGACTGTGTATTTGAAATGACCTCTAAGGAAATCACATAGGCGACTAAACCAGATTGATTCTGTTTGTGCATTCAGTTGAGGCATGAATTATTCTATGCTTATTACTGTAAATATAAGGTTCTGAGACCTAATAAACAAATAGACTGTGAAGAGCCCAGAGCGAGCACCTACCCTCAGGAATGTCTGCACTAGAATTCAAAGAAAGCTGGTATATGGAGGTCGACACTAATTTCCATCAATATCAGATGTGTAAGAGTAAATTACTGACGTGGGCCTAGAGGGAAAACAGCCACCTACGGTTTGAACAACAAATTAAGAATCCCTACAGGAAAAAAGACTTGGACACAAGGACTCGGAATTCTTATCAGCACAAGCTATTTCACACAACCATCTCCTGCTCTCAATACCTTGTGCATTGCCTTCCTTATCACTGTGGCAACCAGAGATGAAGGCTGCAAGGCAAAAGAGTTCAATCTTCTGTGAGGGAGCTGCTGTGGTGCAAGTGAGTCTCCAGGGAAAAACCATTTCTAGTCTCAAGGGGGAACCTGTCAAATACAAACTGCTTTCTACCTGAGACGAGGATTTTCATTGCTGTTGCTACATATATTAAACCATTCAGTGTAACCTGAACTTTACTCCTTAGGTATGGTTGTTCATAATTTTCACTCCTATATAGCCTTGGTCTGGCCATATGGTCTTACCTGAGCGGTTGCGTTCTAGTACCCTGCTCCCTTTGACATGGCACAGATCACCTTGAGTGCTGTTGCAGGTGGTGTTGAGATCACCTTTGCAGTAGATGGGGGACCCTCCCTGCACCACCTGAGGGATGTGTTTCTTCCGCTTCTTGGGCAGCTTCTGTTTGGCCATGGCCAGGGAGTAGTACATCCCAAAGTTATTGACGATAACGGGCACAGGCATGGCTATCGTCAGCACCCCTGCCAAGGCGCACAATGCGCCCACGACCATGCCTGACCAGGTCTCTGGATACATGTCGCCATAGCCCAGTGTTGTCATGGTTACTACGGCCCACCAGAAGCCGATGGGGATGTTCTTGAACTTGGTGTGGATGCTACCAGTGGGGTCATTGGGATTAGCGCCGATTCGTTCGGCATAATAGATCATGGTGGCAAATATTAACACTCCCAATGCCAGGAAGATGATGAGCAGCAGGAATTCATTGGTGCTGGCACGTAATGTGTGGCCCAGCACTCTTAGCCCCACAAAATGACGCGTTAGCTTGAAGATACGAAGGATACGAACAAAGCGCACAACCCTGAGGAAACCCAACACATCCTTGGCAGCCTTCGAAGAAAGACCACTCAGCCCTACCTCCAAGTAGAAAGGCAGGATAGCCACGAAGTCAATGATGTTGAGAACGCTCTTAATAAACTCCAACTTGACCGGGCAGAAGGTTACACGCACCAGGAACTCGATGGTGAACCAAAAGACACAAACGCCCTCCACGTAGGTGAGCGCAGGATCAGTTTCAATCTCGTACTGCGGGCCTGAGTCCGGCACGCTGCTGTTCCGCATCAGCTCAGTCTTGTTGATGATGGTGTTGAAAGCCTCATGAGTCTCCAAGCAGAAGGTGGTGATGGAGACCAGGATGAAGAACAAAGATGCAAAGGCTATAAACTACAAGGGAGGAAAAGAGAGAAAGAGAAAAACACACATTACTATCAATCCATCCCTCAAATTTAAACTGGTTTGAACCTTAACGGTCTATACACTGGCTGAGGATACATACACCAAGATCAATCAGTTCATTTACTCCTGAGAAAGAGAGGGAACTCAGACAGGTTTAATTAACTTGCATCAATTTGAATGGACTCCTGAGAGAGGCACAATCTATTAGCAAGAGCAACAAATAAACACACACTTCCCCCTTGCTCCTGGTGGGAATGTAGAACGAGAATGCAGATGCAGTCAGATCTAATTTACTGCTGCTGGTATGTTGGACAGTTGGCAGTAAAACAAGCAGGAAAGTGGTTAAACTAACCAAACAAACATCAGTCTTCAGAATCAGTGGGGGATTGGGAAAATTGTACTTATTTTTGTGCAATGTATGTAGTTTGTGCTTTTTTATTTTGTGCATTTGTTTACATTTCTATTGTCTCTTATAGCAAAAGTTATGCCACATCTCCATGTAGTTGCACTGTATGTACCAGTACAAGTACGTACCAAGTACGTACTTGGTTTTTGATTTTTTTTTTTAAATCATGCATTAAAGTTAGCAAAAAAAACATGAAGGACTGTGTGTACTTGTGTGCCTTGCAGCTGTATGCCTTCGCAAACCAGTCAAGTTGCAGTTACAGTTTACATGTTTTCACAGACAATGGATCAAACATGGATGTGTTGGATGACATTGAATAATGGCCAGAAAAGTGTTTTTTTGTAGAACATTATGATGTCACAGTGAAGTTGACCTTTGACCTTTTGGATATAAAATGTCATCACTTTGTTGTAAGCTATTTGTGTATTTAACATTTGTGTGAAATTATGTCATAATTAGCATATGAATTCTCTGAATTTTCTGAGGTCACTCTGACCTTAGACCACCAAATTCTAATCAGTTAATTCTTGAGTCCAAGTGGAGGTCTGTGCCAAATTTGAGGAAACTCCTTAAAGGCCTTCTTGAGATATTGCATTTACAAGAATGAGACAGATGCAAGGTCACACTGACCTTGACCTTTGACCACTAAATTCTAATCAGTTCATTGTTCAGTCTAAGTGGATGATTGTCTCAAATTTGAAGAAATTACCTCAAGACATCCCTGAGATACCTTGTTCAAGAAAATGGGATGTATACAGACAACTTGAAAACATAACACCTCCAACCGTGACTATTGCCGGCGTGGAGGCTTAAAAAGCATTGTTTGGATTAATCTTACCACCCCTTGTGGAGGTCCAAACATCTTATTACTGGTTTTACCCCAATCTCAAGTAAGTTGACAACACTTGACAAGTAGTTTTCTTGTTAAGCATGACAAAATAATTCTAACTCATGTTTCACTTGCTAGCTTTTTCCATAACTTTTAATCACATGTCAAAGTCTTTAACATAGATGGATTTAAGAGATGGCAAAAGCAGGGTAGGCAGAAAAAGAAAAAAGAAAATAACAAGGAGATCAATGAAGAAATACGTGATAGAAATAGTGAGCAAAACTTGAGTGTTTTGAGACTGTTTTGTTGAGCATTATTACCATTTCCATTATTATTTTCCAAGATGATTACCATAGTCAAGAATAAACTTTCACTTTTACTTCTTAGGTACTCACTTCCTAGGTACTTATTAGCAGCGTAGTGTCTGACAAAAGGTCTGAGCAGTGACAGCTGAACAGCGGCATATTGTTTTGCAATTGACCTCACAATCAAAATTCTACTACTGGCACCACTCTACCTTTAAGATGGCCGCTGGCATGTTTAGTAGGAGCTTTATGACAAAACTGTGAAGCCTAATAAACCCTTTTAACAAAGTGCTGATGCTCCTCTGCAGGATAGCTCTTGCCATTACACGCAACATTCTGCTGTCTCCAACACTGTCTGTGATCAGTTTCTGTGTCTCAACACAGAATACAACACAGGTGTTACATTGGGTACGTTTACATGCATGCTGATATCCCTCTATTATTCCAAATATGATCAGAAATGTAAACAGCAACTAGGCTTTTTTTGTCTTCAAAATTTAGCATTTTACAATAAGACATAGGATATGCTGGTTGTATTCAGTATTATTTGGACATGTATGCTAGAACTCAGAATATGCCTCTCAGTTAGGGTTTTACCACAGTTTGCGACACAGCCTCTTGCCTGTTTGTTTGACTCTGTGCTTTGTCTTGGATATGTTGTACACAAACCAACTCACCTACAGTTTGCAAGGCTGGTGTAGAGATACTCCCAAAAGAAAAGCCAACATTTTGGTTGGAAGGAGAAACACACCTACGTTTAAACTTTATATAAAGACTTGGATATCAACAAGTTTTTGGATATGTGCAGATATTGCAATGCTGACCTTTGCAAGACGGTGTTTGAAGGAATGGAAGAGGGAAGCTGTGCTCCGCCACCAGTAACAAAAAAATCCTATTTTGATACCATGAAGCAAAATGACAAGCGGCCCCAGTGGTTCCGCTTTTCTATATTGTGACGTGATAAACAACATGTTAGGGCATGTTAATTGGACTATGCAAGGCTGCATGTAAACGGGAGTGTTAGTGGAATATCGATTTTCATTAGCCAGCGTAGTAGAAATATTGTGTTTTTCTGAAAAAGGGAAAAAACTGAATATTTTGTGCATGTAAACATACTCAGTTTGGCTCATCTTTTCTCACTCATCCCCTTCGGCCTCTTGTGTCTGGGTAACAAGACAAAGTCAGGCAGACATAGGGGAATAGTCCTCTTGGGTGTGATTTGGTGACCTCTTCATTCATATTTACTGCCAGCATGAAGGAATGCATGAAAATAAGGACTTTTATTAGGACGCAATATTCTCAGCAGCTTAAGGTGAGGTCATATGGAAGAGAAAAGGTGACATCACTGAGAATTCAATTTGTTAAATGTTACTGACAACAAGGGATAGCAAGGGACATGACATGAGAGTGGCATGAGCTCAGTGGCACTACAAAAAACATTAAGGAGCCCTGACAATAACACTGATAATGGAGCATTATATAAAGCACTGTCTGTTATTAATATAAAGTTATATTGCAAATAAATGAATAAAATTATTCTGAAGTTGTTGACAAAGATTTGAAGTAACTTTGAACTCTGGTTGGCAAAAATGAGAGCATGTTGATACACTGCAGCTGAATCTGTATGCTAACAGTATTAAATGATGAGTCACATACAGATTTTATCTCCCTGTTTTGTTTTGGTCTTCTTCAGCAAAGTGTTTATCGAACCACCTGTCAGATGCAGAGCTCACATCCAGCTTTTCCGCCGCCCTGGAAGAGGCTCAGGCTCAATGTGCAAACATCCACAGCTTTTCTCCGAGAGCTAGACGGAGCAGATTTCCACACACGCAGCCTACTATGCTCCCTCTCCACCTTCCTCCCACAATCCATCCACTGGTGTGCTCTGCCTACTGAGCCCTGAAGAAGTCGTTTCACACCCTGCCTTGTTTTTGGATCGCATGACTCACACACTCTCAAAATATCATTGCCACTATTTGGGTCACCCTGCTCCTGAACTGTGTGCGTGCATTCACTCTACTGCTGTTAGCATGCGCTCTCGTCATATATTATATATATATGTCTTTATCGTCCTGCAAGTGCGTGTGTTCCTCCTGCTCATTCACTGGCACGTTTTTTAAAGCCACAGCATGTTGCCAAATGACACCTAGATGAGGTTACTCAGCACTATCCACTTTCTATATTCAACGGAATATGCAGTGCATGACAATGCTGAATATGTTTTCAATCTCTTTGCATTTTTCTTTACACAAAATGTTCACAGACACCTCTGCTGACCTTGTAATTTCCTGTAAATTGTACCTAGTTTCCCTCAGCCTTATTATGATTGCTTGCACTTAAACAACATACAGTAGTGATGCACTGAAATCTAGAGCATCACAAGAGTAAGAGACCCACATTTTCATGTTTTAGCTCTAACATGTGACTGCACTGCATTTGGTCTATTGAGGCTGCTGTTAATATAGAAATTGGAGTCTCTTTCTTCTTCTATAGACTCATCGAGGCTGTAGGCGGAAGTAAACAAGACACTATTTCTGCTGCTGATCTCACTTGTAACACTGTGAAATGAAACAATTTTTACTCTGTTACATACTCTTTAAAACCTCTATTTTTGCATTTCCTGACTCAAATTCTACTTTAGCACTTTGTTGTATTTCAGAAGAAGTCACGCATTTCAAGTCTGCAGATGTATAATCATATGCTAGCAAGTAACTGGAAAGGGTGTAATCACTACACAGCCCTTTCACACTCACAGAGCTGTAGGTACAAAGCCTGTCATAACACTTTCTCATACTTGTTTTTTAAGACTGAAGAACTTCCATGTGTACACAGTCTACCCTTCAGAGAGGACGACTGCCAACCATAACCTACCCAGCTGGCCACCAACACCATTAGTTGGTCATATTTGTTTGAACATAGGTTGTGACATTGGATGATCATAACTCAATGTCAGGACAACGACTGATGCCAGTGTCAATGTGCTGTAGAATACTGACAGAGGTGGGACCAAGTCATTGTTTTGCAAGTCACAAGTAAGTCTGGAGTGTCTACACATAAGTCCCAAGTCCTGAACTTTCAAGTCCTAAACAAGTCACAATGCTGACAACAGAGTAATATTTTACATTTCAAAAAATTACAAATGCTTTTTAAAATTTGTTGTTTAAAAGAAGTTTGCTAAAAACAAGTGCAACTGACCTGATTCATTCAATATGTGCTGACATTGCACTTTGACAGCAAATAGCGAGCTAATTGTGTTACTAATTAATAGTGCTAATTATGTAAATATTAGCCTGAAGCCTCCAATTTTATTAGCCTCTTTGTGCAGCTTCAAATGCCAAACGAAGCTGGAAGTTGTGCGCCTCCATCTGTAATTTCGACCCTCACTTTTTGTACAGTTTTTTTACACAAAGGAAATGATCTTTAGTGTTGTTTTTTCCTACTGCCACTC